CATCAAAAAGCATGCTTCCTAATAAGCTTCTCTCCTAATAGGCATTCTAGCATGCAACCCTGAGCATATCCTTATGATAACGTCTAGCATGAAAAACATTCTATAACTCATATAACATATCAACATGTATGGGTATTCTGGGAATCATTTACTTGAGCTCAGCTGATTGCATGAATCACACCCCTTTCTTTCTAAAAATCTTTTCATAAAATTTATTTTCTTTCAAAAGATTATCAATTCCTCAGTTTGAGTTCAGACACACCTAGGAGTATGCCTGAATCCTTCAAACCAAGACTCTGATACCAACTTGTAATGTCCCAAAAACACTAATAAAATTTTCATTTTTAAAAAATAAGCCTTATAATAATTTGTTCAAAAACCACACAACGTAAATTGTATTTTTCAAACATCATAGCAAATCAATAATGATCAATGCGGAAAAGCCATTAGGGGTTGTTGTGTAGTCAAGCTGGGCCTTTCCCGTTGGAACAGGAAGTAGATGAAAATTTTTTAACCACAAAACCGTAAGTACAAAGCTTAGTGAGTTGCCCGAAATACCACATACCATACATATCATCGATCCCCACCTGGATATTGGGCCCCACCCATCATAATAGGCCTCGCCCACATAACGGTCCCTATCCATATATCGTGCCCCGGCTATCATACAAACGAGCTCAACCTAATATACAAATAGACCCAACTCAGCATACAAATGTGCCCAACCCAACATATAAATGGGATCAACCCAACATACCAATGCAAGAGTCACAAACACAGCTAGCATCCTAATTCCTACATAGTATAATGAGAAGACTGATCTTACTAACGTTATCTACAACTAACAACTCTCACAACCAATGAATGGGTGCTACAAACCTCCTAATATTTCAAGGTAAACCCTTAGTCTGCCTTCTAAAATGAGAAATTTGACCAAAAGTCAAGCCATGCCAAAAGTAAACTATCAGAGTCAAAGCCAACAATTGACATCACCAACATCTGATACTCACGTTGTGACTAGCCCATGGTCACGTTGTGACTAACAACTCAACCTCGATCCAAAGAATCGAAATTCAAACAACCCAGTTGCAATCAAAACCATTATCGAGTCATGATGGCCATGCCCTCATGTTGTGACAGAGTCCATCCAGAATAATCGAGAAAACTCCTTGTGATGTCATGACCCCCACATGGTTACATCGTGACTATAACAAATTGGAAAAACTTAATTCCTTCAACCCCTAATCCTTTAATCCATCCATTCCAACTTTCCAGAGGACCTTCTTACTCCAAAAACATTTTAAAAATTGATGCTTTATAGATATGCATGTCTAATGAATGTCTCTATCTCATATTAGGTCAAAATGATGAAGAAATGGAACCATAATCACAATAATGTCTTCAAAACTTATCTAATATTTATATCCAACCTAGATTACACTCAAGGGACTTCAATGATCCATAAATTTGCCAACTTTATGGAATCCTTCCATCAAAACTTTGACAACATTAAGAAAAAGGGACAAGAAGCTTAGATCTAGAAGCTAACAACATAAAGTTTGGGTCTTGAACACTTACAATGATCCATAAATTGCTCAAATACAAACACCAAACTCCAAACTTACCAAGAGATTCTCAACACCACAAGGCCTTCTACTTCCTTTCAAGAGCACCAAAACACTCATAATAAGCTCACAAATGATGAGGAAAGTATTATGGTTTACTTCAAGGTACTTGAGGGTGATGGAGGCAAGAAATGAAGTTGTAAATCCGAAATTAGGGGTTTAAATATGAAGGAAACCCTAAAAGATCATGGGCTTGGGCTGCAGTTATTGTCTTGTTGTGGCCATACTCATGTCACATCGTGACATCCTTCTGGAAACAGATTCTCATTTGGTATATCACGTCGTGACCTCCCTATGGTAATGTCGTGACACATGATTTTTCTCAAAAACCATGCCTCTGACTTCTTTATACCTAGGGGTGTAAACGAGCCGAGTCGAGCCCGAGCCTGACAAAGCTCGAGCTTGGCTCGTTTAATTTGAGGAAGCTCGAGCTCGAGCTCGAGCTCGATTCGAGCCTTAAAATGAAGCTCGAGCTCGGCTCATGAATAATTTAGTGGGCTCGCGAGCCTAATCGAGCCTAAACGAGCCTCTATGTGTGTGTGCGTGTGTGTGTGTGTGTGTATATATATATATATATATGTGTGTGTGTGTGTGTGTATGTATGTATGTATGTGTGTGTGTGTGTATATATATATATATAGAGAGAGAGAGAGGCTCGTTTAGGCTCGCGAGCCCATTAATTGAAGCTCGGCTCAAGCTCATTTAATAAACGAGCCTCATATTTAGGCTCGAGCTTGGCTTAGGCTCGTTTAATTCGATCTCGAGTCAAGCTTTTAACGAGTCGATCCCGAGTAGCTCACGAGTAGCTCGGCTCACTTACACCCCTATTTATACCCTACACCGATCCATTCTAGAAAATGGGTGTTACATCAGTCAGGTTACGCCCTAAGATTTTTGGAACATGATAAAAAGTCAGTTTATGCAAAGTATTATGTCTTCGCCGTTTATTAGAAAAGGACCTTTGGAACATCGAAGCTTTCCAACCTGAAAATTTTCCACGTTATTTTTAAGCCACTTACTAATCATTTTTGTACCAACTCATACATGTAGCCATCACTATCTGTGTTTATAAGATTAATCCAAGACGTCAATGACTAACATCCTCTCTTTGAACTAACAATCATAGGATTGAAACACTTTGCCAACTAGAAGAAATCTAGGACCCTAGTTAGACACAAATTCCATAACCATGGCTCTATAAGCCATTAAGGCGCTGATAGCCCAACACGTCGGGAACACAATAGCTAACTTTGAAACTACTAGGAATACGGGGTCGGGTCAGAATGAAGGAGCAGACGGTCACTACTAGAAAAAAGGCCTTTTACGACGCTCATTGCGCGTCGTAAAACGCTCAGACAACGCTCATTGCGCGTCGTAAAACGCTCAGACGACACGCAAATGCGCGTCAAGGAAGGCCCTGTCATAAAGAGAGATGACGCACTTTTGCGCGTCGTCTATAGACGACGCGCATTTACGACGCGTGGTTATGACACACAATGCGTATCAAGAAAGGCCCTGTCATAAAGGAAGACGACACGCATTTGCGTGTCGTAACCTTACGACGCGCGTGTTTATGACACGCAATGCGTATCAAGGAAGCACCAGTCAAGAAAGGCCATGTCATAAACAAAGACGACACACATTTTTGCGTATCGTAATTTTAATTTTTTTTTTAAAAAAAAATATATTTATATATTTATTAGTTTATAAATTAAATTTGCCTTTAATCTCTCATAATAGAAATAAAATACCATATACAAAAAATACAATCCATTGCATAATATAAAATAAAATACCATATACAAAAAAATACAATCCATTGCATTCAATTTGTATGTATAACAAAGACACATGTGTTAAACTTGTTACCATTAACATCTAATCGTATGGACTCGAGTGTTAAACTTGTTACCATTAATATCTGATTCATAAGTCCTTTCAACAAGATTGTTACCTGCATAAATGAAAACAAATAGGAACATTAACAGCCCAGCATGCTCAAGCCTCATCAATACAACAAAGGAGACAAAAGTAATGTAATAAGCCAAACATTAAAACCAAACATTAATATAAGAGATGGGAAATCTTTTACCTGAATATAACTAGCACCAAACAAACCACCATTTCCAAGCTGGAATTGATTCCGATGCAATGTGACTAAAAAAACACAAATCACCCTCAAATTTCACTTACCCCTTTCACTTTCACATAACACCAACCAACCTACTTATAAGTTGCTAATTATCTAGGCTATTTTTCTTTTTCTCTTGATCAAAATAACATGTTTATGCCCAAATCAATTACAGAATTGTATTTCTTAGTATCATGTGGACACAACATTTTACCGAATGTGAATTGAATATGACAAACAAGCATTTATATTCTCATGAAATCAAAGATAATTTATAATATTTTTCTAAATAATTAACAAACTTGATGTGTCAAGACCCATAAGGATAATTTTTGCAACATTATATTCTAACAAACCCTACTTTAATCACAACATTAAACCAAAATCAACCAAAAACTCACATAAACAATCAAATCAAATATAAACACAGGCTTGATTTTCAAACAGATTAAGAAAGGCAGCAAACACTATTTGTGATTTAGAAACTAATAGCTTAATCCTCAATTCATATTAGCATAGTAACAAATGTGCACTTATATCGTTTTTTCCTTTTGAACATTCACTTTCCAACAGATGCTAAAAAAGCTGATACATTCTTAGTGGGTGCAACCTAAACAAAACTGTCACCATACACAACACATGCTGAAAAAATTGAATAATTTATCTTTTGCTGCAACTGGATCATACAAAGCTAGACACACTTTTATATGGTTCAAACATAAACTTATTGTGTAATGAGGATCCAAATGGAATAATTCAGCCACCCCATACTCCTTTGTTCTATCTCGCCTCTATAATTTATTTCACCGTTCAAGAGAAGGGTATACGGGGTTTCATAGACATTATGAATTAATTTATCCTTTATTCTACTTCCCTTATTTGAAACAATCTCATCATAAAACGTTCAACATTTCAACATATTATACGAACTAATGCACTAAAATTCAAGTGATGTAAAACAATAAAAGTTGCTTTGAAAGTTCATAAATAAATAAAAAATTACCTTTTCAAATTCTGCATAAACTTCTGCAGGAGCTATGGTCATCAAAGTTGACAAAGCAAGTACTGCAGCTTCTTGTTCCAAATGACTAGTACTCATCAACCTCATTGGTCAAGGCAAACCCCACATATTATACCACAACCAAGGGTTAATAATAATTAATAATATATAAAAGATAAGATAAAAAGTAATCAATAAAAAAATATCAACACTCGGAATCAATGATTCCACAGGTAAAAAAAACTTACACTGGAATCAGAACGCTGCAAAGGGCTTCTGGAACCAGCTCTACCATGGGAATAGGGTGATGATGTTGATGCTTTCTCATTTCCTCCTCCTTCAGGGCTTCTGCTTCTAGAAGGTGACCTACTCCTACGTAGAGGAGACTGTGTAATCCATCAATTTATTGACACATCACATGATAAGGGCATTCTAGTCTTTTCAACACTAGTACTTCTATGTAAGTAACAAACACATATAGAATAGTGAATAGTCCATCAGGTTTCTAATGAAACATCAACTTTAAACAGACAAATAAAACTTTTTACGGATGCTATTTTTAATGATAAGCGCATTTACGTCTTTTTACCTTATAGGAGACCTACTTGGGCTTCTCTCATCATCATAATCATCATCATATCTACCCCTCATGTTTCTTCTATGATAATCAGGGCTCCTACTCTTACTGCATAAGGGTCCTACTTCTGTAACGATCTTTGTCCCTTCCATAATACCTGTCCCTGCTACTGCTGCGACTTATCCTCTGTAGCCCTTGTATTCATCTCTATACCTAGAACTACATTGGGTAAACATCAACTCCAATACAAGGGTAGAATGGTTAAAACTACATTCTCATCATACCTTGGTCTAGGACTTCGGCTCCTTAATCCACCCTTCAGCTTTTCTACTGGTTCAAGTATCCTTCCCTTGTGACTAAAACAAGAATAAAAACAACCATATTAGTCAAACAACCATATACTTTTTCATATCTGATTCTTGGAATTTAGAAATATATTAGATTATATGTGAATGTGACTCACATTTTTTCAGCATTAGGCCCATATTTGGCAAATTAAACCATCATCTCTCTTCCATCAACAACTCTTCCTAAAAGGTGTAGAACAAAAGTGAAATCATGGTGAAGTGATGATATTGGATAAGTGTTATAGCTATTATATATTATTAAAAGTGATAAAGAAGAATCAGATCTGGAAGTCCAAACACCTAACATGGAATCGAGGGCTTAAGGAAGAAATCAAGCGTCGATGACTTTTCTCCGGATAAAAACAATTTCCCACCAATTTCACAAATCGGCGTTCCAAAACCAAAATTCCCGATCCCAATCGCGTTTCTGTGCAATCCAATTTGCCAATTTCACGTTTCAGGTATCGATTTAAAGAATTGGTGGGATCGCAAGCATGACGTACCGGAGGGCGTTTCTGTCGGCGATCGGTACGCAATCGTACCCCGTTTGGGATCGAGCCGTTTGGAACGTGGATCGTGACTACTTTGGCGAATCCTGTGACTATGGATTGAACCATGCACACCATTGATTTCTATTCAACGAATCTCCAACGAACATAAGCCTCTTGTTCTTCGATTTCTCCACCAACAATTTCCCTATAAACCTTCATTTCATTTCCCCCAAAACACACAATTAAAATCATCAAGAATTCAACAATTAATTCGATTTTAAAAAGTGGAAGAATAGAGTATGCTTACTTTGGCAAATTATAGTGTTTAGGCTGCCACCTCCACTTCTGATATGAAGTCGTCGGTTGCTTTACAGAGAGATATGAAGTCGAGACGAAAAGACGAGATTGACCCATCTGGTAATAAACGGACTCGGGAAGCTGAACAAAATGACCCGAGATTGACCCATCTAGTAACAACGCTATTGATGCCATTCCTTCCATTTTCGACTATTCATCCTCCACTTCCTCTACTGCTACTTCTTCACCATCTTCTATTTTTTCTGTATTTAGACTTGAGAGTATAATTAGGGCTTTTTCTAACAATTTCAACATCGAGTGGGAGATATGGTGGTTCCAGTAGGTAGAAGTGAGGGAAGAAGTAGGCAGCAGTCAATGTCGGGAGGGGGAAGGAAGGAGCGTCCATAATTTGGGCAAGAGGGAAAGGAGAAAAAAAAGGAAGGCGGGATTTTTAATTTTTTCAGAATTTCATTTCCCCCTACTGTTAAAGGATGGAACGCGCGTTCCATTAAAAATTATAAAGCGAGATCCTTAGACGACGCACATTTTATTATAGGTGCCCTCCGTGTTTTTTTAGACACTGATTTAAGGGCGCGCAATAATACGTGTCTTCTATCCTTAAATTTTTTGAAGAGATGACATTTTTCTAATGTCACTCTCCTTTGCGTAACATAGATCAATGAGCGTCGTATTTTGCACGTCGTAAAAAGCCTTTTTTCTAGTAGTGGGTGATAGTTCTTAGAGGAACAACAAAGGTCCTCTAAAGGTCTATACCTATAAGGAATTTAGGAACTACAAGCCCAATCCCTTCTATGGAAATGAAGGAGTAGTTGGACTAACTCGCTAGATCAAAAAGATGGAGTCAGTGTTTAAGATCAACTTTTGTGCTAAAAGCTTCAAGGTTAGATTCGTAAATATAACATTATGATGATGGAACAACCATGCAAAAACCATAGGTATTAACGCAGCTAATGCCAGATGAACTAAAACAACTACTTATTGTGGAATACTGTCCCATAGAAAAGATGCTGAACTTAGAGCAAGAATTCTAGAATCTCACCATGACATATGCATATATTGCAACTTATACCAACCGCTTCAATGACCTCGCAACTTTCTGTCCCAACCTTGTCACCCCAGAGTACAAAAGGTAAAAAGGTACATATGGGGTTGGTTCAACCTTTTCTTATTAAATGGTTAGCCATTGCTTCCAGGCTAACTGCGTACAATAATGCAAAGAGAGTAGCACTTAGCCTAACCAATCAAGAAATTCTGCAGGGCACTATGGTTCAGAAGGATGACCTTCCAAAATCTTAAAGTAGTAAGAGAAAATCTAATGGTGATTCGGAGCAACCAACATGGAAGAGACAAGACTCGGGGAAAGTTTACGTTGCAAACACCCCCTCAACTACTCCACCAAGACAATACGTTGGAGATCTACCACTATGCAATAAGTGCCAATACCACCATGTAGGAGAGCGTAGAGAACTAATATGTAAGAACTACAGTAAGAAGGGCCACACTGCTAAGTCCGATATGTGCCACAAACTAAAAGATTGGTACTGGTGGCAATCACAGCTGTTATGAATGGGGAAAGTCTGGCCACTTCAAAAGAGACTTCTTAAAGAGGAGAAATCGAGGATGTAATGCTCTAGGAAGAGCATTTTACATTGGCACGAGATACGCTGTCCCAGAAAACGATACGTCCTTACTAATAACTTGCGTACAAGCTAAATACGAATAAGCTTTGTAATCACTAGATTCAAGCACTCGCTAAGACATAAATCTGATAAAAACTAGGAAAAGCCTTAGGAAATCAAATCACTTTCTATGGGTCTAAGTTGTACCGTTGTTCCATACTACCTAAGAGTATGCTTCAAAAATCATGTTTCCCTAAGATTCTCCCAAAATAGTGCCCCCTTCATCAGGCAGTACAAGTTGAATTTCAGGTAGAAAATTCATTTAACAGATGGAGAATGTGATAATTCCGAAAATTCTCACTGATTATTAGTGTGACAAATGCAATAGACTAAATCTTAGTCAATCTAGCTAGGATGTCAATATGAGATTTCACATTCTGTTATCAGCTAAATCGTCCATAATTTATAAAAATAAGTGCGTGAAAAAATTATATTATTTTGTATAAATAATAACATATTCCGAAAATACGCGCCTTTCCGATCTTGAAAATATAAATTTATAAAAATCCGACTTCATATAAATAAATTATAATTTTTATACATTATAAAGATCCGACTTTGTATAAACTTAATAGAATACATGATCCATTTAATTTTTACGAAAATAATAAGATGTGACATTTTTTGCAATTAAACGTTGAATATCCAAATAAAAATAAGAAATGTCCTGCCGTTTTTTTCCCAACATCCATAACTTATTGAATAAGCAATTTAAAGAAGAGAAAATTTCATATATACCCTTATTAAACGTCTAAATATCGTATTTGTCCGACCTAAACTTTAAATATCATATTTGCCCTTCTTAATGTTTTAGAATATCGGATTTGCCCAAATCTATATTTTAAGTATTTTTTATTATTTAATAATCCTTTTTTACAATTTAAAATCATTAAAATTGAAAGTATAACTAAATAGACAATAATACCCTTACCTTCTAAATCTCATGAATGCATTTACAGGTCTTTTGTTTGTGTTGGCTCTCCAAGGAGGCATCCCATCGTCTTTACTTGACTATATCTCCTCACGATTGTTTTCCTGTGTGGTTAAATGGTTTTTTCCACCCTAGTTGATTTAAAGATTGTTTTTTTCCTCACGATTGTTTTTTTTTTTTTTTCACTGTGGTTGATTTAAAGATTTATGGTCTGTATTAATAAAAAAAAAATTGCAACTAAGTATTTTCTTATTGAAGAATTTGATATCATTAATAAACAAACGAACCATTAGAGACTTTTGTAATGCTCTAACTTGTTCATGGAAAAGAATTTAATATCAGATCCATCCAATTGGAGTCACTACACCAACACCGATCTTGTTGGCTCTTTCATATCCCAATTTTTTCATTCTTTTCATATCTAAAAAACACATTCAATTCATAATTATGATTTGAGCTAACAAGCTGTAATCAAAACAGAAAAAACATCTCTAATGTAAATTGAATGTATTGATATTTGTGTTGCTCTTTGAGGAATTTTTTCAAATAGTTAGTGTTCATAAAACTTGATATAACTTCATCTATGCCACCAACTAAGATTCATCATACAGGTAAAAAGAAAATAGCTTATCAACTTAGCATTAGTTCTAATCTCGCATTCTCCAGTAAAAAACAATAACAATCTTTGACATTTGAACCACAATGTTATTGTAAGCTCTGCTGTATGAGTATTGCATATTAGTTCACAAAGAAAACCATAAAATTGATGTTTGTAGCTAATTGCAAAAGAAATATGGATAAAAGGAAATAAAAAGGCGCAGAGAGGTTAAGAAGAGGATTGTGTTAAGAATTCATCACAACAGGTAAAGGATACGCTCAATTTGGTATTCTTCAATTCGTAGTATAATCTTCATCTAATATTGATGATACGAAACGGTCCAAGTCGTCTGCAACTGACGGTCTTTATCACCTCACTAATATTTTACCAAATTCAGAATAAGAAGCAGATTTTTGTAATGATGTTTATATTTTCATATCGATATAGATGTATGTAATCGAGCGTTAACATTAATTAAACATGTTTTTGTTATTAAAATATGAAACACATCATATAAATGGGTAAAAATAAGATAAAAATTAGAAAATGCATATTAAACTCAGTAAAAAAAAATCTTAAATAAATTGATAACAAGAGTAATTGTATTTTACAAAATAAATGAAAAATACTATAGTCGATGTCTATTATATTCTCAATTCTCAATATTCAAAACATATCGTGATATCGAAGCAATCATTAAAAAGATAAGAAAGACGAATATCAATATGTCCAAGTCGGTCACAATTGTAATTTCCATTGTTGGCTGCGCCGTGTTGACTCAGCTCGTGTCCCACTATGAGCATTATCGTTCACCACCAGGCACAAGCCACTTCTATATAAACCCAACCTCGTATACAACCTAACCCTATCTTCAAAAATGGCCACCAAGATCTCATTCTTCCTCTCATCCCTTGCAATCTTAGCAGCTCTGCAACTGTCGTCAGCAGTCGACTACTCCGTCACAAACCGGGCAGCAGCCACCCCCGGCGGTGTTAAGTTCAATAACGTCATTGGGGCGGCATACACCACTCAAACTCTCCGTTCTGCCACAAGCTTCATATGGACCACATTCCAACAAAATACTGCTGCTGACAGAAAGAACGTAGCACGAGTAAACGTGTTCATTGATGACATGGATGGTGTTGCCTACACTTCTGGCAATGAGATCCATGTGAGCGCCAGGTACATTCAGGGTTATTCCGGTGATGTCAAGAAAGAGATTACCGGAGTCCTCTACCACGAGATGACTCATGTATGGCAATGGAATGGAAATGGTCAAGCTCCGGGAGGATTGATAGAGGGAATTGCGGATTACGTGCGGCTGAAGGCTGGGTATGCTCCTAGTCATTGGGTTCGGCCAGGGCAAGGTAACAAATGGGACCAAGGGTACGATGTGACAGCTCGGTTTCTAGACTATTGTAATGGTCGTAGAAGTGGGTTCGTGGCTGAACTCAATAAGAAGATGAGGAACGGCTATAACGATGGTTATTTCGTGGACTTGCTAGGGAAGACGGTTGCTCAACTGTGGGCTGAATACAAAGCTTAAGGGTGCAAGCATTGAGCATCATCATATATAAATTACTTACCAAACTTCTATGCA